GCCATTCTCTAGCATTGATAGGCATCACAGCAATCTATATCGTCACTACTTTCTCTACTACCATGTTCCCAGCAGGTCAATTCCACCAACAAAGCTTTTCTCTAATCAATAACAATGAAATCCAGTCACTACGCTGGCAAGTAGGACAGCTAGAACAGAGAGTTGCGGCATGTATTCAGAGCCACAATATAAGCAGTGCTAGAAGTGATACCAAGAGCAATAGCAGTAGTAGTATGATGGTACGTATTTGTAGAAGCTTTACAAATCGACAGTTATTTTGCATGGGCTATTATAAACATCTCATCAATTATGATATATAGAGTCTTCTGCAAGAAGCCTATTCCTCTGTATCCAGACACCAAGGTCTCGCGTGGGATTACAGCCTACGCATCAATGATGAACCAAACTGTACCATCATAAATCAAGTTCTTAGGACAGTGACGGAGAGTCGTGATTACCAGCTTTTTAACTGGAGCACCCAGGCTATGAAGAGGGCGCTCAGGGTTTCTTTTTACAATAAGAAAAATTGGGAAACACAGCCGGACCACATAAAAGAAGCTCGCCGACAAAAAAGCAAGAAACGAGCTGCGCGTGCAAGTGTAAGTTTATTTTCAACTTCTCTTTACAGCATGGATTCGCAATAACATACAATATATATTCGGTTGACAGTTGGTGGACAAGCGTAAGAAAACGTACAACGCAAACAAGACCCTCCGGCACTGTCCTTGTATCAAGATCCCAGAGACATCTTTGTTGCAGCATGCATGTCCGATATTGAGGATAGTGAAGTGATCTCTTGTCCAGCTTGGAGATCCGATAATGTAAGGACTAGTATGAGATGACTCGTACTCTATTCATCTTGATATATGCAGTATAGTCTAAATCAGCTTTATAGGCAATATGCTTTCTACATAAGATAGACAAAATCCGCGAACCCGGCCACACATCCTCCCGTGAACGACCTACAATAGAACTTAGGAGGGTAACCCCTAGTATTATGCTTTTAGTGGAATTATAAATGTATAAAAAACTATAAGTAATATAACATTAAAGTGTTTACAATAAGTGCTGAAATTAATTTTTTTAATTAAAAAAATAATTTCTCAAACACTATAAGATTCTTAACCAATAGGGTTAATCTCAACCCTTAGGTTTAAAAAAACACTCTAAGTGGCGCAACGGTAGTGAGCAAATACCTTCTCTAGCCGAGGAACACCTGGACGAAGGCTAGCTTGACAGAATAATAAAATATCATAATGTTGTTATTTATAACAACAATTGTAGATATTGCTTATTCTCCTTAACGATCGAATATTAGATGAAAAAGTTCGTCCCTTGCGCTCTGGACATATAAGAGTTGAATAAAGCAGTTTTTTTTATATGAAAGACATGTTTCTTCAAAGGCTTCTTCTACGTGTATCTTATTGCTGCTCTTTTTAATCATTTAGTATTCCGCTCTGCTCAATTCAATTTCGTCACCTTTTTCTTTTCTACCCACTTTTTTTTACGTTTGCTGTGCATCTCCAACTTATACTTTGAGCTTTTTTACTTGAACGGCCTCATCAGATTGTCACATCTTCGTGCTGAATGTGTCTTCCTTGAAGTCCTTCATCCTAACACCATCGCCGGAGCACCGTCACTTGAGCAACTTCACTTTCTTTTACTTCTGCCAATGAGATTGAGTTTACTTCACCAGCTATTCCTTTAACCTCTTTCATGTTACTAACTAGCTCGCTATAACCTCATCTATCTCATCCCTCCTTAGGCTACAGTGGTCCATGAAAACAAAACAAGATGATGTACTATAAGGTAAGTTTAAGGGTAGGGGCTATAACAGCGTCGAGCAATAGAGTATAGGACATATCTTAATGGTTATACTTTTTCTCTTTTTTTTTATTGGGAAATCTCTATGTACATCGCTGTAACAAGAGTCCCTTAGTACTGCTGCTTTTTTAAATACCATCAGCATGTATAGTTTATTGAATAGTTTCTATATGGCTTTTCTTTTGTATTTTTTTCCCCTACTATTTTTTGTATATTATTATTCTATCCTTTTTTTTACTACCTGTGCTGACGCGTCACCGTCAGTGCCGTGTGGTCTAATAAAGCACTATCATTGGCTATATGCACATATGAGCAATATACTATATACATGTGTGAGCAATCTTGAGCAAATGAAAAGGGGTGTATGAGTAGGTTTTGAGCAAATAGAGTTGGATAAAGGGAATGGAAGCTTGTTTCTCCCAACGAATCATTAGCAAGCCTTAATGCACAGGAAGCCACGAACTCGCCAATGTCACTGTGCTGCTTAAACATCTCCCCAACCAGTAAGAAGCTATGAATGGCATGCAGGAGATGTGTATCACCTATAAACAAAATGGTTATTCAGTGTACTCTGAAAGCCATTATGAAAGCACTCTGAAAGCACTCTGAAAGTACCGCTTTCAGTATGCTTTCAGTGCCTCTGAAATCGCTTGCCAACTCCAGTAAACAACACTAAAACCACCCAAAAACTACTACTTTCACTACAAAATACCCTAAAATTTCCAGCAACAATAACTTTAGCTACATGCCCCGTACAGCCAAAAGCAATACAGCGTCGTACCCCCCAGCTCACGCTCGACACACTACTACCTTTATCTACGAGTAAAAAGTGCATTCGCCAATCGCTCATTCCATCTCACCCATCTCAAATCCCTTCAATTAAAAAGAATCGCCCAACACCTCCCGCCCCTCACATCCTAATTCACCCTCCGACATAGGCGCAGACCTACAAGCTAGAAAAGAGCACCAGACATCGAAAGCAAAGCTATATGATGCAGACAAAAAAGCAAAAACAACGGTAGCAAAGGATAAAAGTCTTTTGCAAAAAGAACAGCTCGCCACTAACTTCTATGTACAGTTTGCAGCTGATTTCACTAGTACCTAGGCTAATATTGCCTATCCCACCTGCAAGACTCTAGGTAACATTTTGCTTACACAAGATACTAATGCCTTATATGAACCCCCTGCCCCAATGTTCTACTGCAATAATTGCAATAGCCATTTTGGTCATATCCCTTTTGTAGCTGCCATTACTGATGCTAAGCAACAGCTGGTCAAGGAACCCCCAACAGCAATAATAGGACTGGGCTGAAGAGATGCCCAAGTAGGTAACTGAAGGCATGGATACCTTTATCAATGATTTCCCAAAGCTACAAGAATATTTGCAGGCTATCCACAAACGCCTCGACAAGCATGATGAATAGTTTGCAGAAATTGCTGCCTTATGTGAATAGGTATCTATGCTAACTGATACTAACAAAAAGTTGCAGCTACAGAATGCAGCACTTGAGCAAGAGCATGCACTTTTGCATGGTCAAAAAACAGCTGTACCTAGTGGATCATCAGCATCTAAATACGCCACCACTTCAACATCTACAACACCTATTGATAAGTATGTTTATTAGTAATGTAAAATTAAATGATTTTTTAAAATTTGGGGATTGTTAATGTTTTGATGGTTTATACACAAATACATTAGATATAGTAATTAATGAATATAATAATATTGATTTTAATATAAAAAAAGACAATTTTATATATCTAATTAAAAAACAAAAAAAAGTTGAATTAAATGATGATAAAAATTTGTTTAATAATTATCTAGCAGGCTATAGGAGTAGAGTTGAAACTTATTTTTCTGACATTTCAAAAACATTTAAAAGATTTGACCCATATAAAAATATTAAATATAAAAATGTTAGAGTTACAAAATTAAAAACATATAATCTTCAATTAAAATTAGTCTGTTTATTAATATATTAAAAACTTTGTTAAAATAGGAAATATAGAACCAAATAAATTACATAAAAAATAGGCTGTGACAATTTTGATTTTCCAAATGATAATATAGATATTGTTTCGTATATAGTTTCATATAAATTAGAAAACACTAATAATTTAAGAAATTTACAGAATAATATATTTTTAAAAATAAAAATTGATAAGAAAAATACTGATTTAAGTAATTCCAATATTGAAATAAATAATAATAGTAGTACTGATGTTAATATAGATCAAGATGATAATAGCTATTATGAAATAGCTTATATTGAAAAATATAGGAAAAATGGTGATAATAGTTTTGAATATTTTGTAAAATAGAGAGGTTATAATAAAAAACATAATTCTTGGGTTGAAGAAATAGATTTTACAGGTAAAATAATAATAAATTTATATTGGAATACATTAAAATAAGAATAATAGATTATATATGTTATAAATACTTTTAATGATAAAAATAAAGTTTAATTTTTTTTATATATAATTTTTTATATATCATAGATAAGAAATATTTATTCAACCTCTCATTATACAAAGTCTTGACTTTTTCTCTTCTTTTATAAATAAAGATAAGAGAAACATTTTACACTTTGAACTATATTAGATTAATAGGAACCGCCTAAAAACAATGAAGCAGAGTTTAATTTTAATATTAAGGTAATATTCAGGAATAATAATTAATATGAAATTTAAAAAAAATTCCTAATATAGTAAAAAATTTAAAGATAAGAAAAAATTTGAAATTAAGAAAAACAAAAATAAATTCAAAAAAGAAAATTAGGATCGTTTCTCAAAAGCAAAATAGGTAACAAGTGGTTTTGTGGGATGATGAGTTAGAATCAGTATTTCAGGATCAAGAGCATTGTTATCACCAATGGACATAGCGATGGCCTCACACGAGTAGCATGGTATGAATTTTTTTTATAGTTCCCTGGTAAGCTAGTAGAATTTTATTGGCGACCTTGAGATCGAAAATAACACCCAGCGGCGGTGAAGACTAGAATGCAAATATGTAACAGGTAAAGAAATCTATAAGCACTAAAAGGAAGGAAAAGAGAAAAAACCAAATAGCTGTGTATTGTTTTGTTCTATTTAGCTTATTTATGTTTTTTTTTTCGTGTTTGTATGCTTGTGCTGTATTCTCTTCTTGGAATAAAGAGGGAAGTAAAAATAGAGGGGTATCAAAAGAGATCAAGCAGGAGGCGGTGATAAAAGAGACTCTTCCTTGCAGAAAGTAAGAAGTAGAGTATGTGTAGAGGAAATAACATTAGTGGGGGTGAAGGGAACGTTTGAAAATACAGAAAGCCAGTGTACTCGCCAGATACCAACCAGGATGCCGGTGAGGAGCTGAATCGGAGAAAGCCAAGACCGATGAAGGCCCCAATGAGGTATCACCAAGAAGAAGATAGCATCAAAAATCATTATGCGGTGTATGGGTAAAAGAACACAGTCTTAGGTAACACTCTGCCAGACGTGCCACTTAGTGGGGCAGTCTAGTAGAAATGTTCTTGAGTATCGAGAGCGGTTGTGCAGATTCTGTATTCAAAAGAGAAACGGTCGGGCAGAATCCAATGTAAATTGGCATGACAGGAGATTTTGTGATGTAGAACACGCCACCAGATGGTCCGTGCGAGGGGTAGAATACAGATATGCCAAAAGAATTTCCATTGTTGCGGCGAAAACAAAGGATAGTTTGTATCAGCAATCGCAGACTGAATGTCGGGCAATTAGCGTTGTAGCCAAAATGCTTGGGTACTACAAGAGGCCAAGGGCGTAACGTTGATAGCGAAGTGATCATAGAAAGGTGTGAGATCAATGGACCCCAAATACGATCCAGCATCGGAAAGAACTAGGATACCAGGTAAAAGTGCGCAGTAAAGAAACAAAGTAATGAGTGCCTTACCAGAGTCCAGAGCACGGAAAAGGTGAGAAATTGAATTACGACCTAATGTGATCTCATTGTGGGTACATCGACGAAGCCGGTTAAGGGATTTAATCCTATAATTGCAAAATAAAAAAGGTTTTGTTAATTAAACAGATTTATTAGTTTGAAGAAAATTTATATATTTAAATACATTTATTTTAATTTTTTTAAAGTTTTTGTCTTTTTTAAATTTTTTTAAAAAAGTTTTTAATTTATATATGATTTTTTAATTCTTTAAAATTTTTATGTTTCGCATAAACCTTTTTAAACCTTTAAAGGAGTTATAACCTTTAAGGTTTAATATTTAATTTGAAAAGTAGCGGAACGGTAGTGAGCACCCCCTCCTTTAGGCTAGACCTACTGGATCGACGCCTACCAGTTACATTTTTTTTGATGAAATACAAAAAAAAGTAGACGCTTGACAGGGAAAGGAATAACTGAAATTAATTTACTGTTTACAGTAAAATTAATTGTTATGGATTGAACCTCTAAGCAAGCAGTCAAATAGGTATGCGTCAGAGACACGCAAGGTAGCGAGAACCTTCTTCAGTGTAAAAGAACCAGGTGTAGATTCTTGTATGACAAAGAACAGAGGCAGACAAAGACACGTGGCCAATGATGGATCAGATGACAATTCACCAGGAATGAGCGAGTCGATGGCATCAAAAAGAGGCGATAGGGTTGGAAAAGACCGGAATGCTGGCGAGCGCAGTGGCAGGAAAAGGAAGGGAAGCAGTGGATTAATACAATTTGAGAGAGAATTCAATAGATAAGAGAGAAAAGATGAAAGAGAAGAAATGGTAGATTGTTGACCAAGAAGATGAGAAACCCATCTGATTTGCAATGCCTGTTGTTGGATATTTGAAACTAATATGCCTAAACTACCTATGGATTTGGCATCCCCTTATTTCACCCCGGTTGAGTGTGAAAAAAATTGGAGGGTGCTGGCTGAGGCGGGAGGAAAGTGTGGGGTTCAATAGCAGCAGCAGGGAGGGAAAGAAGCAACAACCAAAGATTTTTTTTCTCATCAACAACCACTATGGCAAATCAACAGCTACGAACATACTTGTATATGACTTTTTACTGTATCCATGATGAATAGAAGAGAAAAAGAAAACAAAGCGGCACAATCCACGGATTTAACAAAAAAGGGAATCATGGTAATTGTATTTTTTTAAAAAAAAGCATGTGCTCATTTGTAAGGTGTAGACCGCCGTTACTGTAAAAAAAACGATAGCCTTTCAAAGCTGGTAAGTGATCAAGGGAAGGAAAAGGTTGTCGCTTGTGCTTGGGATATAGCTTTGGTGGATACTTGCTCATTCAGAATTACTGATTCTTTCTCTTTTTTTTTTCTATATATACTTAATGCAACATCTTCCACCATTCCAACATCAAAATTACGTGTGTATTACAACATCGTCTTCTACTTGCACATTCAATTCGTACTCACAACAACAACGACGCAACAATCTTCTTTTCCCTTACTCAAACACAATCGTGTACAACATGACGCCGATTCGCCATTGACTTGTAAAACATACAACCTGACGCAATTACCTTCCACTATCATGTACGCTTATATTACATGATGACGATTATGACGCCGGTCTTTTGTTTTTATAATTGAAAGCACACACACATCAAAATCATCTTATTGCTGGGCATCTCTTTCTTTGCTGTATGTACATGCATCAATGCGATGGTAGTTACATTACCATGATGACACACCACCACAGCAATAATCCTCCTTGGCAATTTGCTGTACTTGCACAGACACAGTGACAAGGACGATTACCTTTTTCCTTTTGCATATGCTAATACAAACGTCGCTGGTCTTGCTGGATAAGGTAGTTATATATGCTGATGGGTGGAATGTAGGGTTTTATTATTGTCACTGTAGATGTTATGGCTGGGATAAAAAAAATAAAAGTAAAAGATCATACCTTATGTCGCTATTATGTTTCAGTTGTCTGCATAAACGGGTGTGAGATGGGATTGCATGTTATTACAAGTGCTTCTATAAAAGCTATAGCTATGGTTATGAGCGGTGATGATAATATGGCACAGACAAAGAAGAAAAGGCGTTTGTTGTTTTGAAGGAGGAAGAAGTTTCTTTGCTATTACAACAGCAACTTTATTTTTTCATTGAAAACCAACAACTATGAACAACCAACACATTACTACCCTTGACAACATTCGTTACGCTCTCTCATACTCGACTGTACCTGGTGTACTTGCACTCGCTCCCAACGAAGTCGTGCGCGTTTCTGCTACTCAATGGCAAATCTTCAAGGATTGCATTTCGGAATTGTGTGGCTACAAATGGGTCCACAAACGCAAGACTGTGAATGGCACCAGAGTCCTTTATAGCGAGACTTTCTATTGTCATCGTTTCAGCAGCTATACCCCAAAGCGTAATATACGACTTGCCCAGAAGGATAGTAAGAAGTGTAGCTGTACTAGCAAGTTGAAGGTCACCATTTGGCGCGCTCTTCCAACCACGTGTGAGATCGAAATGGCAAGTCCTCACGTCGATCACGTCCCTGGAGATCGTGATGACGTGCTCACTCTTCCGTTGACGTCCTTAACAGTCAACAGCATCACCCGGCAGCTGCAGGACGGAAGAAATTGCAGGGATATCTATATGTTCATCTTGCGACAACTTGACACTGTAGACGAGGCACGAAACAATACTGGTGCGAGCTCGTCAACACAGCAAGAACCCCAAGTTGCGTACAGTACTAGGCAACGACGTGTGAATTATGAGGATGTATATAACATGATGTTGAAGGTATGTCAACAGACTGATGTACTTTTTAAGCACATAAATCTAGTAATCTTACATTACTAGAACATTTTAATATAGTTGAAAACTGACCTTTACCAGTTCAACCCAAATGATATGCTGTCAGCAAAAGTCTGGCTGGATCAACGCCTTGCTAGTGAGAACTATATTATATACAATAGCAATACATCCGAATACACCACCTCCATCGACACTTACTCTTTCGGGTTCCTATCCCAAATGCAGCTTGCCCAGCTCCAAAAATCAACGTCCGTTTGTATGGATGCTACCCATAGTATCACAAGTCGTCTTGCTGATACTATGTATACCATTGTAACACGCGATCCTCACACAGGAACTGGCTATCCCATTGCTTATATGTTCACGAATGATCACTCTGGTGGTCTAATCACTCGATAGTTACAATTTCTTCACAGTACCTGTGGCATGGTGATTGAGATGATGACCATTGATTGCAGCATTCCCGAAGTTAATGCCATCCAATCCCAATTCCCCTCGGCAGCCATCCATTACTGCGCGTTTCATGTCATCTAAGCATGGAACCGCAACCTGAAATCCAAAGTTCGCTTGGATGCATCGAAGACAGCTGATGACCTAAAGGAGTATCGTAACGAAATGATGACTGCATTGAAAGCAATGCTGCACGAACAGGATATTGATGATCTGTACCATGCCATCTAGGAATTTCAGGAGAAGTACTATGAGCAAGAGGAATTCCAGGATTATTTGGAACGGCATTATTTGCACGAGAACATTATCCAGCGTTGGTCAATGGCGTACGTCCATCCTAACAACAGATTTATGACGACCAACTATTTTATCGAATCATGGCATAACTAGCTAAAAACTGTCTATCTCAAGTATATCTGCAACAAATGACTTGACCGCTTATTTTATGTTCTTACGCGCGAAGTCGAGTTTTACTTTAAATGCGAACGCGAACGAGTCTTGGGGAACAACGGTCGTATGGGTCTTATCGAAAATCAACTATCACTGCGCCGATATACTGCATCTCTAGTACCTGTTGATGCTATTGCAACAATGATCCGCAATCCTGAGGGGGAACATATCAGTACTCCAATGATAGGCACTTGGGAAGTGAACTCTTTTCAGTCTCAAGCAACAGAGGTACACATGATAGCTGTCAATGTTGATAAGCTTATTTTATCTTGTACCTGTGAAGATTTTATGCATAGACAAGCTCCTTGCAAGCACTTGTATTTGTTGAGTGATTCACAGATATGATGCTTGGTTTTGAAACAGAGCAGACTAGAGCACTTGAGCGGATTCCGCATACGATTCCTAACCAGCAAGGTGAGTTGCAAATTGCTGAAGCCGTTGAGAACGTAGCTGTTGAAGAAACAGTAGATATTGTTGACGACCTTCGCGACAATCTGCAATATATTGCCCAAACCTTAACATCAATGCATCATGACTGAAACAGCATATTTCAGCTCTCTACAATACCACCAGAAGTGGCTGAACAATATACACAGTGTTTAAGGGAATTAGCTCTTTTCCATGAAGACATTATGGGACAGTACAATCACACCAGACGCTCTACTATGCAACGTCAATAATTACAATGTCCACACATCCCATACAACAGCATCCTTCGCACTTATATAACACTTATAGAACCTCTTTTTTTGTCTTCTTTGTATATCTGTCATCGCTCTTTATTTTTTATCAACATCCACCTGCCTCGCTTCGCTCGGCTGAATGAGCCCCTTCGCTGCGCTCCGGGTCATTCAATGGATTGGATGTTTCCTGGGGGTTCCCCCCCACACCCCCTTCTAAACCTTAACCAAAGCTCGCTTCGCGAGCCTAACTTACTGCTTCGCCTACCTCTAACCCCAAACTCGTTCGCTGCACTCACTATTAACACTAAACCCTATTATACAATCTATCATTTTAAAGAGTATTTTTTGAGAAAAACGGGACATCTGCAGTCCAGGAAC